TGGTACAAACTCGTAAATAGAATTTGTCTCCAACATATTTAAAATTCAAGACAACATAAATAATAATTTTTTTTTTTGGATATTTTTAAATTATATTATATTAATTTAAGTTTGTTTGCTTCACTAATTTATTTTTTTTTTCTTTTTTAATATTTGGAATTCAAATTATTTATCTCTATCTAAGTTTTAAATTAATTATAAATATTATAAAAATAAATAAAAATATTTCTAACAAAAATAATTGCTACATACAAGTAAGTTAATTTATTTGTACATTATATATTTATTAGTTACAAGTTTTTATTTAAAACAGCAATTTATCACTAAATAATGCACAACAATGATAAATTAATTGCATTAAATTATAACATATTTTATTTTTAGTAATTAATAATCAGTTATTCTTAATTTCTACAGTGAAAATAAAAAATATAAAAAAAATATTAAGAAGTTAGATCTCAAAAATTCAACTTTTTAATGAATTAAAAAAATTTATTGTCAATTATGGTTGATCATGATTGGAATATAATATGAAATTATTTTATATTGTGAGTGCTTTATTTTATAAATCATTTTATTATTATTATTTTAATAAAATATATATATATATTTATTGATATTAGTGTACAAATGATACTTTATATTTCTATGAATTATTTTAAAAAATAAAAATAAAAAAGTTACATAATAATAAGTGATTGTTAAAAATACAATTGATTTTAAGGAAAAAGGTAAAGAAAAAAAGTGTAATTTATAAAAAAGTAGTTATAAGAGTTAAATTGTCTAAAAATATAGACATCAAATAAGACAATTTCCTTTATTAATAATATAGGTAGTACTCCCAAAATTTATGTACTCAATCACTACTTTATTCATTTTTCTGTTTTTTTTTCTTAAGGCTGTGGCTTCTATTTTTTATTTTTTTATTTTGTTTTAACTCATTAAAAAGTTGAATTGTTTGTAAAAAATATATTCAAAAAAAATTTATAAAATAATATGAAATTAATTTTTTTTATTTTAATTATTTTTTAGACTTATTTTTATTTTTATGTGATTTATGTATCTTTTGATTTGAATTACATTTGTGTCCAATAGTTTTCATGTAATTAAATCTAACAATTCAAGTTTTAAATTTTAACTTAGTAAAAAAAATTTAAATCATGTCTAAAAAATGGAAATAATTATTATTTCAAAGGAATCAATGGACTCAAAATTATAAAATAAAATATAAAAAAAAATATTTTAAAAGGTAAATAACTAAAATAAATTTTTAAAATACGATAAAGAATCAAAAGTATAATTTAGTTTTTAAAAAATGTTATGGAAAGTTAAGAAAAAAAAAATCAAGTTAATTATGTTGAGAATTTTTTATGTGTTCAATGGTCACTATGATTTTTAAGATAATTATAATTAAAATTA